TAAACATTTGAATACTCTGAAAAATAGAAATGTTATCAAATGACAATTCTGCGAAAAAAATTTTTTGTTTAATTATAATTATGCAGTAAATTAAGAATTCAATTAAAAAGTTACGAATATTGAAAGTCCAGTCAAGTAAAATTTGTAACAAATTGACTTTCATAGTATATCCTTGCGTACCTGAGCGGATCTTATTTATTTTAAGTATTGTATTTTGATACTTACTGTTCATATATATACGGAGAGAAAAATCTGCCTTTTATAGTATGAAATAGATTGCTGCTATTTTTCTTTAAACTTTTCATACTAATAGAGCAAAGATTTCAGAATTTTTAGCATGAAACTTGTCTATGCTAATAAAGTTTGTCATATAGCCTCTTATTACATACTTATTATACTTTTAATCCAACGGCGCCATGCGAAGATCGCACATAACATCATCCTACTATTTTTGCATAAGTTCTATGCTTTTTCGGGGATAGACTCTTGCAACTGGCGATTAGGGCAGTTCCAATTAAGTAAAGGTGGGCGTGGCCTAATCGCCAGTTGCAAGAGTCTATCCCCGAAAAAGCATAGAACTTATGCAAACATAGTACACGGAGAGAAAAAAAAAGTTCTAACTACTTTCCTTCAAGTCGTCATTCTGATCATATGAAGTCAAGTAGTTACAACCGGGGAGCCAGGCCATTTTGACTTGGCTCTTTCATTGCTACTACTGTGTTCTCAGGCAATACCGACCAAGCGATTGGCCTATTGCTTTGACTTGCCGCTTGGCGTTTGCTTCTACTTTGCTTTACACATGTGTGAAGACCGGTAGAAGCAAACGCCAAGCGGCAAGTCAAAGCAATAGGCCAATCGCTTGGTCGGTATTTCCTGAGAACACAGTAGTAGCAATGAAAGAGCCAAGTCAAAACGGCCTGGCTCCCCGGTTGTAACTACTTGACTTCATATGATCAGAATGACGACTTGAAGGAAAGTAGTTAGAACTTTTTTTTTCTCTCCGTGTAGGATGATGTTATGTGCGATCTTCGCATGGCGCCGTTGGATTAAAAGTATAATAAGTATGTAATAAGAGGCTATATGACAAACTTTATTAGCACAGACAAGTTTCATGCTAAAAAGACATACGATTGTACTATAATTACTCAAATTTCATGCCTATATAGCATAGAAAATTTCTGTGTATTAAATGTAAACCTTTCTATACTATAAAAGGCAGATTTTTCTCTCCGTGTATTAATCATGTTTCGCTTGTTGCATCTTACGTGTAATAATTTCTTTATAATAAATAAATTGTCACTATTTAACTAAATACACAAATTTTGTCACATATTTTCACAATCACTACCGCAATTTATTTCTGAAATTCATTTTTTTTATTTTTCACAAATATATGCGGATGATATTGCCTAAATATGTATTTTTAACAATTTAGAAATATTTCATTTCGATATTTCTAGAATTTTAATGAATAATCTTTTCAAAATATTTCACTTAAAAATTTGTAACATATTTCATTTTTTTATTTTGCAAATATTAAAAAATAATATGTCAGTAATTTTTCATCCTCACATTTCCTGAACATTTCGAGAACATTTCGCTGAAATTCTTCGTACAATCGGAACTGCAATATTTCTTATAGGCGGACATTTCATTGTTGCATCACAATTTCATGGACTTTTCATTGAAATATTTCGAATCTTTCAATGAAATATTCAGGACAAATTCAGGAAATTTTATGTGCTGTGTGGGGTCGATAAAATGTTTATTAATGCTATCTATTTAAACATTCATTTTTTCGACAATAATTTTAAAAAAGAAAAGATAATCGGAAAGAAATTGACATGACATTTAAAGAAATTAATGTTTCAATAGAAAATTGTAAATTTATTCAATTTTTAAATGTTAATTTGTATTTGATTGTATTTTTTTCTCGAAAAATGCCTAACTTTTTACTTAATGAAAAATAATATTTTGAAGCAAAATTTTGTGTTAATTAGACTAGAGATCCATGTGTCTTTTATTAAAATTCCATTTTCTTCATATTTTGTCAAGAATTATTTTATATTTTGTAAGAAAACTGGTGAGAATATTAATACATGTATCAATTGAAGTTGGCTGGTTCTACATGTATTTTCGAAATTTTCCTATGCATTATTTTTAATCTGGGCCTAGAAGATTTTCAATGTTACGTATGTTATTAGTCAGTATTATAATGAAACTTTCAATTCAATAGAACACATCCGGTGGAAAATTGCACCCAACAAGGTTAGAGTTAGGCTATGTCTACAAAAAGCTCTTTTTATGTCCTTATGTTGAACATAAAAACACAATAAATTTCATTATATTATTATATTGTTTTCAACATAAGGGTATAGAAACAGCATTTTGTGAGAATAGCCTTAGGCAGTTGCCAAAGAAGTAAAAAATTTTATTCAGTATGCTTAAGTAGTTGACATAAAAATGTCGCATTTAAAAAACAATGGAATCCATTCATGTTATGTTCATAATAGTGGACAAATATGTCTTGGGCAATGGATAGCTTCTGTTGTAGAGGTTTGCATTGTAGAGCCCTGCAGAGGCTATTGGGAAGTCCGTTACTACAAATCGCTCTCTGGTGATAATATTTGTAACTACTAAAATTAGGATAATTGCCCAACATCCATCAATCAGAAATACTTTTAACTATGGTGGTGAAAAATGGAACTACTAATTGTAGGATAAATGATTAAGCCACGCCCCAGCGGACATACCAATGCATTGCTCAAGGCTTGAGCAGGATATTGTCGTAAACGCAATTGCAAACGTAAACAGAAGCATGAGTTGGAGAAGGATAGGTATATTGTTTATCCTTCTCCAACTCATTCCTCCGTTTATGATTACGATCTGTGTTATGAAATTCTCTTGAATTCGACAAAGCTGTATTCAACTTTCAAACTCTCTATTCGTCCCAATGCAATGGACAAACTTTTGAGATTTAATCTTTTCAATTCGTCGGGGCTTCACTGAATCTTGCTTAGCGATAAATATGAATTGAATCTTGCCAAAAAAGTTAATTCATTTTAATTCATCTAAATTAGTTTTTTTCTCAGAAGGGAGAAAAACAATAATAATTAATAATAATGTTACAATATTAGTTTGGTTATTAATTATTTAATAATGATTTAATTTTTAATTTAAAGTTAAATATTTATTTCAAGTATGGTGAATTGCAAAATTAGGAAAAACTCCATTATGTAAAAAGTTAGTAAACAGCAATTGTCCTTTGTTTAAAAATTGTTTGAACAAATAAGTTTATTTTAAATCTAAATCAGTGTGTATATAAAGTTTGGTAAAGTGCAAAATTTGTGAAAACTACTTCTTCCGTGGTAAAATCCTTAATACGTTTGTAAATAAGAATAATATTTATTTATACAAATGATAAAGTTATTATCATAACTTAAATTGTTTTGTGACAAAAAATACATATTTTGATTAAGTTAAAGATTAAGTAAAAAAATGTGCTGTTTCTGATTTTTTTGCAATACCTATATTAAGTAGAAAATATTTACTTCACCCCGAACAATTGACAGTGGTCTCGTACGTACATGAATGTTTATAGTAACTTCAATTTTCAATTAGATTGATGCAAAAAGTTACAAGATTCCCAGTAAAAAAAAGTATTGAATAGAGTCCTTTTTTTAATTAACCCTTTAACGACGAGATGTGCTGTTTTTCAACATAAATTTCAAACGCCTACAATTTGTAGAAAGAAGCCATAAAATTTTTGAAAAGCCCTTATCTTACTATTTTTGGGGTCGCTCTTTCGAATGGCGTAGTCAAAATTTTCAAAAAATGATATATAACCCTTCTTTTTTTCAAAAATACTAAAAAAAGTCAAGTTTATTGAATGCAATTTTTTTTAAATAATTTTTTTCTCCCCCATAACATTTTTTAAATAAAACAAAAAGTATCAGAAACGTGTTCCCAATAGTTGTACTTGGAAACTAGCCGTTTATAATTTTTATTTTTTTCGATTTTGGATTTAAAATGGCGCTTGAAGGACAAAAAAATTTCCTAATTTTACTTAAGATCACAAACTTTTTCAAAATTGCTCAAATCTGATTGAAATTTGTTACACGGAGGTTTTTGGGGTTGCTGATTACGAATCTGAAGTCAGATGCAAAAAATTCAAAATGGCGGACTCAATATGGCGGACGAATTTTTTAAAATTTACTCCGATTTGCTTGAAATTTGATACTCGGGAGTTTTTTGGGTCGCTGATTACGAATCTGAATTCAGTTTCAAAAAATTCAAAATGGCGGATCCAATATGGTGGACAAATTTTGTGAAATTCATAGAATTCTGTTGAAACTCGTTACTCGGAGGTTTTTGGGGTCGCTGATTACAAACCCGAAGTCAGATTAAAAAAATTCAAAATGGCGGATCCAAAATGGCGGACTAATTTTTTAAAATTGCTCAGATTTGCATGAAATTTGTTACTCTGGGGTTTTCGAGGTCGCTAATTAAGAATATGAAGTCGCCTTAAGCCTTTAAAGAATTAAAGTTGCCCGATTCTCACCACGAGGAGGTAGGCGATATAGAGAATCATTTTTTTTGTATTTTTTCAGTGATTTTTAATTTTTTTTTTGTTTTTTGCTTTGTTTTATAATTTTTTTTTGTTTTTTCAATTTAATAATTCACTTTTTTCAACTTTTTATTAAAAACTTTTAATTTGTGCTATGCGTTTTTTTGAAGCAATTGTCGCAGTAAAACAACTTGCAGGTTTTGCAGTATTTTCTTGTTCGGATTTTGCATTTTGAGGTGCAACAGTATCGAGGTAAATGTTGTTTTTCTGTCTCATGTACTGACGACTTCCCCGTTCTTGCTTTGCTCAAATAATCTTTACTGATGCACATAGCCAAAAATTTTGTACTTTCTTTTTTTTCATGAAAAAGATTGTATAAAATCGTGGAATTAGCAATTGCTGATTGGATTATTCGAATAAAAATTATCCACGTCTATTTCTTCGATCTTATAATTGGCTCTATTGCATTGCATCGTTGATCGTGTAAATCAACGCCACCCATGAACTGATTATACAGCATAAACGCATTCGGAAAATCTAATTCTTTTTTTTCTTTCTTGCCTTTCTGACGACGTTTTACTTTTCCCAGTGGCGTTACTCCAGCTGCAGTGGATAATAAAGAAACTGGTTTGGAGTCCATCACAGTTATGAAATTTATGCCACTCTTTTTTTCGTGTTTCACTTCCCATTTTCCTCTTTCATCTTTCTCTGTGATTGCATTCTTGATATTGACTCTATTTGCTCTGACTGTACCAGTAGCAACTAATCCATATTTTTTCAAATGAACTAGAAGATCCGGACTAGTGAAGAGATTGTCAAAATAAATGTGCAGATCTTCTCGGTTACGCAGATGTACATTACGGAAAACGACTTGTAACATATTTATAACAACACGACTACCAAGAGTACAGTTTGCTAATTTTTCACTTTTATTGTCCATTTTGCCACAATATATTTCAAAATCAAAAAGGTAACCATTGGAACTGCAGAGAGCCCATAATTTTATTCCAAACCTTACTGGTTTACCTTTTATAAACTGCTTCAAAACTGACCTTCCATAAAATCTTAACATCATCTCGTCGATGGATAGTGAACTTGAAAAAATGCCAAATCGAATTAGATTGCTCCGGAATATATCAGTCAATTTTCTTACACGCCATTCTCTGTCAGCATTATTTTGATATTCGGGTTCGTGGAATTTTATTTTTGATTTTATGTTTTCAAAATTATCGCGTGTCATTGCAGATGCCACTGGTTCTGCTTTCAAATGTGGATCTTGAGACCAATAATCCCGTTGAGACAATCTTTGGTTATACATTGTAAATATTATTATGCCAATGAAAACTTCTAATTCAGTAACTGACATCTCATGGCCGTTTTTTATCGTACAGTTGATAATATGATTTTTCAGTTCCGTTGAAAAGAAGTATTCAAACAACTCGGTTGGAGTACTGTTTATTATATCAGACTCATGTTTTCGGCTCAGCATAATCTCGTTATTAAAAGTTTTGTTCTGATTACACTCACCCTGTTTCCAATCAAACACATAATCAGCTTCTAATTTTTTTTGACAGTTGTCGTAATTTTCATACACGTTGTCATATGATATGGCCTTTTGCAAAAAATCAGAACCATCTTCAGACTCAGAAATATCAGATTCAAACTGAACATTTTCATCTAGGGTATCTTCTAAATCCGATTCACCAGAGTCATCAGCAGATGGAATGATGTTGGCATTAACAAAATTTTCAGTCTCTTCATATTCAACTACCAATGAATCGCGTTTCGAAAAATTTGAATCTTTGCGATGATTATTTGAAACATTTTTTTTGAATGAATAGTTTTAGCAGATGTCGAATCATTCGTTTTGATGCGAGAATGCTTTAGCGGAATACTTTTAGCAGGCAAAGAATCTGATCTTCTCTTCGACGGCATTGTGTAAAAGAACTGTCAAATTATTTTTCACAAAACTATGAACATAGCCATTAATTAGCAATAACAAATGAACCGTGATTATTCACTTGTTAGTCGATGAAAATTTTGAGGTTTGACAAACAAATGAACTGTGATCATTTACTTTTTAGTCGATGAAAATATTGATATTTGAATAAGATATTTAAAAGTCTGAAGATCGTTTTGACTTTTTGCAAAATGCTGTATTATATAGTAACTTGTATAAAAATTACAACTCTCAAGAAAATTAAAATCTGATTATGAGTTTCATTGAAAATAATATAAACAGAAAAAAAAATTTTAATGAAATTATGCTGAGTCTGAGACATAAGTTTGATATAGTGAACAGTATTACAACTTATTGGATACTTCAACGTGATTATTGGTCTCAAGATCTACATTTGAAAACAGAACCAATAGCATCTGAATGACCCGCGATAATTTTCGAGAATAAAATTTCATAGCCCCGAAAATCAAAGTAATCCTTCCAGAGTTTGGTGTGTAAGAAAATTGACCAATATATTCAGGCTAAATCTACTTCGATTTAGCATTTTTTCAAGTCCCCTTTTCGGCGATTTTATGGTTAAGATTTTATGGTAAAGATTTTATGGTAGATCAGTTTTAAACAATTTATTTATATCTGCAGTTCCAGTGGTTAGCTTTTTGATTCTGAAATATATTGTGAAATATAGATTACTTGCTACTGGTAGAATCACAATAAATAGAGTATAATAATTTCGTCATTTTGAATATTTGAAATGTGACTTCATATTCTTAATGAGCGACCCCGAAACCCCCAGAGTAACAAATTTCATGCAAATCTGAGTAATTTTGAAAAATTAGTCCACCATTTTGGATCCGCCAATTTGAATTTTTTGAATCTGAATTCAGATTCGTAATCAGCGACCCAAAAAACCCCTGAGTATCAAATTTCATGCAAATCTGAGCAATTTTAAAAAATTAGTCCGCCATTTTGGATCCGCCATTTTGAATTTTTTTAATCTGACTTCAGGTTTGTAATCAGCGACCCCAAAAACCTCCGAGTAACGAGTTTCAACAGAATTCTATGAATTTCACAAAATTTGTCCACCATATTGGATCCGCCATTTTGAATTTTTTGAAACTGAATTCAGATTCGTAATCAGCGACACAAAAAACTCCCGAGTATCAAATTTCAAGCAAATCGGAGTAAATTTTAAAAAATTCGTCCGCCATATTGAGTCCGCCATTTTGAATTTTTTGCATCTGACTTCAGATTCGTAATCAGCAACCCCAAAAACCTCCGTGTAACAAATTTCAATCAGATTTGAGCAATTTTGAAAAAGTTTGTGATCTTAAGTAAAATTAGGAAATTTTTTTGTCCTTCAAGCGCCATTTTAAATCCAAAATCGAAAAAAATAAAAATTATAAACGGCTATTTTCCAAGTACAACTATTGGGAACATGTTTCTGATACTTTTTGTTTTATTTAAAAAATGTTATGGGGGAGAAAAAAATTATTTAAAAAAAAATTGCATTCAAAAAACTTGACTTTTTTTAGTATTTTTGAAAAAAAGAAGGGTTATATATCATTTTTTGAAAATTTTGACCACGCCATTCGAAAGAGCGACCCCAAAAATAGTAAGATAAGGGCTTTTGAAAAATTTTATGGCTTCTTTCTACAAATTGTAGGCTTTTGAAATTTATGTTGAAAAACAGCACATCTCGTCGTTAAAGGGTTAATTTCAGAAGACCATACTCTTACGTATTTGTCCTGTACCCCCACTACCGAAGTTGTACCTCCTGTTTCTAGACTTGTATTTAGAAGTTTAATAGTGAGAAATATCTCAAACCAGATTAATTTTCTTGTAAAGCATTTCGAATTTCGAAAATTTATTTATATGTCACGTTTACGGCAAATTATAATTGCCAATAAAACGTTATTTAAATACAAAATTTTACATTAAATTCACATGCAACACACTTTACCATCATTGAGTGCACTGCTGTATACGTACATGAACATTGCTTATAATAAAACAATTAAAATTACATCATTTTATGTTGAAGAAGCGGCGGGTATCATAATATCGGTTACAATAGAAACCTTAAAATTCATAAAAATCTTTATTGAAGAAATTTCTTATAAAATGGTAGTGCTCTGAATAAGAAATTGCGTTTTTTTAGTAATCCTGAATGAGCCCTAAATTTTTTAACCACTTAGAAGTTAATAGGAGCAGTGCCATAGAAGTTATGCGTGTTTCCGGCCAGCTTCAACGTGAAGCAGGCCGGAACCATGACTTTTTTTAAAAAACTGAAACTTTTCAACTAATAATATAGTGTATTCTTAAAGGGCTTAATGAACCCTAAATGTTTCTGCCACTTAGAAGTTAATTGGAGCAGTAATATAGAAGCTATGCGTGTTTCCGGCCAGCTTCAATATGAAGTTAGCCGGGTGTCATTTTCCTTAAATAAATCAAAAGCCCAAAATTCAAGACACACAGCCCTAATTAGCCCTTAATGAGCCCTTAATTCTCATGTAGTGAATATTTTCATATTACGGTATGTTCCGGCCAGCTTCACGGACGTGTGCCATTTATAACATTTTGCCTATTTTTATTATATTTTTATTTATTATTAATAATTAGATAATGATAATTATTATAAATTTAATTATACTAGAAAAATGTTATCTACACTTTGAGGTTAATATATATTTTTTTTAATTATTTCAATTTAGAAAGGAATAATTTATTAGCGCTAGAATATTTTATATAAAAAATATGCAAAAGTTAATTATTGATTTATTATAAATTTTTACCGGACTAGTTCAGAAAATTGTTAGGAAAGTTTCCTAGCAAACCGCGGAGAGGGGGAGGTAAGGAGAAAAACACATTAATCGTTTCACTGAGTTTAATTTGACTGTAATATTTATTAATTTCAAATTCAATTTTTATTACTATTAATTTATTATTTTTCTTTTTTAACTAAATGAAAATTCACTTAAAGTATTCGGCCTATGGCCGAATTTACAAAAATTATTCCGCTTGCCATGCGGTGAGCAAACATCACTTAATTATTTTCAAGTTATTAGTTTATTTATCTTTTTATTTTATGCCAATCTGGCGAGAAATGGAATTTATTGTTCACTGGGACTCACCGCTGATATGACGCCGACCCCGCATTCCGCCTCGTCCAGACATGGTCACTTATTATTTGTTTTACTTTAAAAAAACCTCTTTGGCGTGCTGCCTTAGTCACCATCAAAACGAGAATAAATTAAATGGCTGAACATTGACTCTAGTCGGCGTCACCTTTCACGCTTTCTTTTTTGTGGTGACAGCGGTTGCATACGTATGCGAAATCGTGCCGTCGTTGCGATCATCGTACTCCCACTACGCCATCTACTCAATACACTCCCCTCCGTGACGTCAGAAGGGGAAAGCATTAGGTAGATGGCGCAGTGGGAGTACGACGATCGCAACTACGGCACGATTTCGCATACATGTGGAACCGCTGTGAGCCCCAGTGAAAGTAATTAATAACTATCTATTTGTCGATAATCGATATATCACGCGTCGATAACTTTCATCGATGTCGCTGGTAAGGTAGATCGCAACTCTACCAGAGGGCGTAGTGGAGTCCTCTATTCCAAAATGGTTGCCCCCATTATTGTGACAGGATCAAAACAATCAATATTCTTTCGGCTTCCTGGTGCTCTGGAATATTCAGGAATCTCATCCAAATATATGCACCAGGAAGTACTTCCCCTGCTGACTTCATAACAGATGAGTGACCAGGAATTTGGATATTGTCGACAATTCCTCGTGATAACATGAAAACATTTTGGAACGCGAGTATACAAATTTTATTAATCAAAATAATACGAGAGTGATTCGACGAGTTGGCAGGTTTAATCTATTATTTTACTTTAATTTTATTATTACATTCAAATAATTATTTATTTTGTCTAATTTTTTTATTTTATTTATTTTAGGAAAAAGGAAGATTCCCATTTTGATGGGGTGATAAATAAGATAACAAATAATTATTGTGTGTGGCAAAATGCCACGTAACAATATATATATATATATATACACTGTTAGAAAAATCTGTATTAGATTTAATATACATGCGTATGAAGCGAATATGCACTACAGGTATTGAAATCTAAAATACATCTATATTAATTTTAATGTGCCAACATGGCGGCCGCAGAGTCCTATTTCACCAAACGGTGTTTATTTCCTTGCTATTGAAAATTTAATCAAATTGAAATAACAGTGCGTAATTCTCTAATTAATATGTTGTTTGTGTCCAAATAATGTTTCATAAAGGAAAATTTTTTCAAAAAATCATTCTAAATACCAGAATTTTAATAATTATATGTGACATTTTGGTTACGTACTCTACATGTCAAATTATATGCATTTTTACAATGAAATTGATGTAAACTTGTATTTCTATGAAAGAAATTATTTTGCTTTATTAATAAAAACCTTATTTTGTACACAAGAACATGTATAAATTGAGTAAAATGCAATTTTTTAATTCTTATTCCTATAGGTAATGATATTTAATATACTTTGTATATTAATTCGCTTTCATATATGCAGTTTCTTAAATTTAAGTACTTTATGCAAATGAAAACTACAAATATTTTTAACAGTGTACACTTCATTTTCTTAAATATCTCCAATACTATAAGAGCTAAAGGGATAAAATTTTTTTAAATTGTAGGTCTTACTGGCGGACAAATAATAAGAGTACTTTGAGCAATATTAATAAAGATTAACTATTACTTTTTTGCATTTTAAAATTTTTGAAAAATCGTTGTTTGCACATAACTTTAACAAAATGTTAGTACACCTATGAATGTTTTTCTTTAATTTTGTAGAGTTTTTCAAGATGTATCTTTTGACCTATTAGCAAATATCCTACTGTTATTTTATCCAGAGTTATTGACATTTTGAAATTGAAAAATTTTGAAAAACCTGCATTTTT